AAAACGATAGGGTTACAAAGTATTCACAGGCTAGATACTAGGAATAACACGTAGGCGGTAATTGCGCCGGATGGCGGAAACTTTGCCTTAATAATATTATGAATTGGAACTATTTTAGGTTTTAAATTATATAAATCTTGACGCGTAATTCATCATCAGCTCACTATACGTCCCCACCGAGGGGCTCGGAGCCTACCCTAAGTTAAGGGTGATTAGGCCATAGTCAACCACGCTGGCCAAGTGCGAGTTGGTTGACTTCACACATATCTTTGAATTTCTTCTCAGATATATGCAGGTTGCATCACCATGTTTTTCTTCACCGTAAGAACGTCGGATAAATGTACATATGTAAATCAGAAATCGAAAAACACATTGGTACATGGCGGGATTCGAACCCAGGACCTGTAGATTGCAAGTCAAGTGCTTGACTCCTCAGCCACTGACGCTCTCTATGTCTGTCTAGTAAGAAATTAAAAAAAAATTCTACGTACTTTTCGAGCAATCGTAGAGTTAAAGAGATTTACAAGTAACATCTAGTTATATCCATCATTCTCATTAAAAAACCACTATAAAAATATATTAAATACCTATATATTTAATAGCTTTAGCTTCATCCCGACAAGCGCCAATTGAAGTTACAACCGTCAAATTCTATTTTTTTTTTATATCATAAGTTGGCAGGCAAACGAGCTTGCGGCCACCTGAAATCTCTGAAATAGCGAAGTGAGCGTTGTCCATAGACATACGCATATATAATATTCTACGCATCTCCAGTTTAGCTTTTCCAGTTAAAAATATAGATCAGTGTTTACTACGAACTTATGCGTGGAAGTATAATGAACTTGTTGACCACACTTCATACGATAACAACTACTGTTAAACAACTGTATACATTTATAAGTATGTTATTATAAACATTGTAACATTGTTAAAAGGTGATGTTGCCTTTGATTTATTTATAGAAGTGGCGTTGCGTGTAAAAGCTTCATGAAATGCGCGATTTGCGGGAATGTTCACTTTCTATCACGACCCTTACTGCACTGTTGGCTATAATATTGACTTTACTATGTAATAATTGCCGTCTTGTTACTAATTTTAATTTTATATTTACCTATTTTACTGCGTAAATATGTTTGATAATTTTGTACAAATTCAAGATTCGATATTTGAACTTGGTTTAGAACTTGAATATTAACTGCAATTTAAGTACGAGTATATAGTTCTGAGTTTACAAATGAGGCATTTAATACTGTAATATCAGATTAATGTATAGAATTATACATCTTAATAATGATCGCATTTGATCTTATAATTACACAAAATAATCTTAGGAGTTACCTTCACCACAATAGTATTATTAAAACAAGAGACTGATGTTTTAAAGTAATTTAATCGTAAGAGCGCCGGTGGCTCAGTGGTCAAGCACTTTACTTACAATCCGCAGGTCCTGGGTTCGAATCTCGACATGTACCAATGTGTTTTTCGATTTCCGATTTACATATGTACATTTATCCCACGTTCTTACGGTGCAACCAACCCGCACTGTCCCTGCATGATGGACTTTGGCCTAATCGCCCTTAACTTAGGTTAGGCTCCGAGCCCTTCGGTGGGGACATATAGTGAGCTGATGATGATGAATCGTAATGAGTTATAGATATTTTTTTTTAATATAATTAAGCGAAAACTATCAATTATTCATGAACATTTGCAAAACTAGAGGAATTACAGAAACATATTTCATTACCAGATGTTAAGAAATTTCCAGATTTTTATAACACGGGTAATAAAAGCAACAACAGCTTCATCTAAACTATAAACGATTTCTTAAAAAATTCCAACACTAAAGTACTGCAGTGCGATGTAGGAAAATTAACTATAGTTGCTGACAATGAGCCCTACAATGATCGGCTCTTTTGTCGGTGTTCTTTTGTTAAAATCAAAGGCACCGCTCGATACGCATGTTTACCTTACAGACGTTAAAAATCGATTTTAATGTAAAAATTAACACTCGCTAAAATAATTCTGTTAATGCGTATGAAATTTTACAGCTTTATCTAAATGATTGTGGGCATCATACCTACGATTTGTAACGAAACAGTCATCACTATGTGTATATCAATACAATTTTAACTGCTTTGATTGTAAATAAATTATTGTTCAACATGTTATAGACACAAGTTGCAAAATAAGAGTAACTAAATAGTGGTGCCGGTGAAATAGACAACCGACAATGTTGCTATAATGTATGGATGTAGTGAAAGCCCGAAAAGTGTGCCTGAACCATGTCATAAGGGAAATGGGAAACCATATAATTGATCATATAAGCAAGTTGTATTAATTACCACAATATTACTAGTCGTAATAAATTTATTTCCACAAGTAATATTGTGAAATTCTATCATATTAGTCCAATATTTTACCGAACGGTTATACAGGCTAGGTATTGTGACTGTTCCAGACTTTGCTTTTGATTAAACTTTGATTCAACAAGGGAATTGAAACCAATTGCTAGATTCTAACTGGTAAACAATAACATAGCTTAATAAGTTCTTTGTGTACACAATAAACATTTCCACAACTACACATTCAACATAATTAGTTTTACTTGGGAATAGCAACTGGATCCACGGGATCGTGTTACGTTTTATTGTGCTATTTATTTAGGATATGTAGACACTGTAATAATAAATCATATTATTGCGTATGAATTCACTACAGTTAATTTTTGGAGTTATATGTTATAAACAACATTACTTATAACATATGAAAGGTGCTTATTTTATATATTCTTATACAATTATTTCTGCTACTTAAGTTAGGAGGTTTAACGTAATGTGTTGTAAATAGATTTAAGTGGTGTCGCGGAGTATTAAAGTTTGTTTTGTGGTAATAATAGAAGAACAAGACTCACCGTGGCGCTAGCACCGTCGCTGTCCGCCACCCGACTACGCCAAGCTTTTGTGTCGTATACCTATCATAGTTCATGGTATAAAGCCGCGTTCATAATTGGGTCAACGAGCTCTTTTATTTTGTTTTACTGTAAAATTGATATACTTAATTTTACAAATTTAAAATTGTCTTTATATGAATATATTATTGCTTATTTAAATTCAGTTACAATTGTAGTTAAAAGAAGAATTGAAACCTAAAATTATGATGTTTTAAAATATTCGTTTCGAATGTGTTTTGTCAGGTGTATTAAGAAAAATAAACCAAAGACCGGACTCTCACTGCAGATATGATATTGTTTTTGCATGACTGTAATCACAGCACAATTCAAAGCAAAAGCAATGTTAGTGTTCTACATTTCACTCAAGAGTTAAGTTAAATTTTAATCCACGGATATAGATCGGACTAGATCTGAATTTAATGTATAAATTCTGTCCCAAGAATAATACGTTTATCTGTTATGTATTAAAATACAATATCAAAATTATTATTCCGTATAACTTTGTTGTAATACAAAATTACACATTTATTTCATATAAGTAAAGTGTGAATAAACTAAGTCAAACGCACCTCTACTCAAGTCTCCATTTTTGTACCTACAAAAGTTTTTATATCCTAGACTCATGCTATCATAGCGCTATTCATCACAATATATGAAGACATTTTATACAATACAGAAATCTATTTGCGAACGTAGAATTTCATTGAAAGAAAAATTTTTGACGTATTTAATTATAAATAAATCATATTCTAATCTAGTTAAAAAGTGTAATACGCATTCCTTTTTTAGAAATCACAAATATTTACGACAATCTGATGTAAATATAATTATGATTTGTTTAAAAGACATGAGCAAGTTTATCAATAGTACACGCAATCTTATCTTAGTAGGTACTATCGCGTTCAAACAGACTTGCCCTCGGCAATCTAACACAAACAATAACATGTAACAACACAAATCAAACCCGTAAAGCAAAATAGTTGACGGAGACTTGTATTTGGCGCAGTCCTGGCACACGTCTTTCGAATATTTCACATTTCTATCTACAAATAAATAAAGTTAAAAACGTAAACAACAAAAGTTAAAGAGTTTTTACGACAAAGCTAAGTGTCGATATTTTCACATTGCAAAATTATTATAATTAACATCGAAAATATTCTTGACTAGATTTTAAAAATGTTATTTGTAAAGGCGGGTGTATTCAGAGTTTGCCAGAACTCACATTGTGACATGTGGCATTTCTATATTTGTATATTTTGAAATATTACAAAATAAACTTTATTTTTTCCAATATCTTAAAATATATTTGTTCTCTAAATTAATTTTCTATTAAATAAATAGTAATAAAAAGAAAAATATTTCTTTAAAGTCGATCGTAAACACGAATTGCACGTAAAAAAAACAAGCTATGCGACCACCCATTATGCTGTCGCCTTGTTCACTGTCTCTTTCGCTCTCATAACTTTTACGCTCTACTTCTCATATTTTGTCATTTGAACTATTTTTTTTTTCAATCTTCATTATTGCTATTTCGGGGTGGTCTTGTGGCAATTTGCATTTGTGTACTGTTCAAATAGATTACTCAATGTAATAACACGTAACACATTACGTCAAGATAATATCGTTTTTAATATACATAAATGCATATAATTTACTCACAAAAAAATTATGAAAATTTTGCTTTTAATGCAAATATGTTTTTAACATATTTTTACAAAATAGAATTAATATTTAACAATGTATTTATCAATGTCGTTTAATAAGAGAAAGTTCAATTATCTACTAGTTAAATTTACCGCTAGTCTATTTCTACGATAAAACAAAATCGATATTGTGTTAATTTCTAAGCCATTGCGTGACTTTTGAAAGGCGTAGTAATTAGATGAAACATTGCTTGCTGACGAGCATTTTGCGCTGTATCGTGCACTAAAGCTATTATAGTTAAAGCTCTACCTTTTAATGCATTTATGCAGAATACAAACAATAAATTAATGTTTTGAACACTAATAATATTTCAACTAAAAATTTTACTTGAAAATCACCCTTAACTTAGGGTAGGCTTCGAGCCCCTCGGTGGGGACGTATAGTGAGCTGATGATGATGATGACATTTAACTTATAGACACGTAACAAAAGTGAGAGCTTAAGTAAACAAAGCTAAAGGTATTTTGTTGAAATATATCATACTAATATAAATGCGAATGTTTAGATGGATCTATTTCTATGTATAAGAATGAATAGCTGTAAGCGAGTCACTATGTGCAAGCTTATATTCAAAATATAACTATCCATAATTATTTGATGTCAATATAAGGTTAACATTAATAGCAGTTCATGCCAAGAAATCATTGTAACAACGCGATGTTGCGTGGCAATCCAATACTGCATTGGTGCAATAATTGTTGCCTCGGGACTGACGCCTCACGTCTGCAAAGACTTTGATTAATTATCAAAACGACCCCTTAAAGAACACCAAATAACGTTTCAATAAAATAGTTCTTAGAAACTGATAATTTGACTAGTTGCGTTATTTTCAAGATATTAGTCTTTATGTTGTATGTAATAAAGTTTAAAAACAATTTTGATTTATCGTAATAATTGTAGCAATTCTAAAATGTGGTCAATTTTTGCATTATGATTAATTCCTTATTTTACGTATACAATATCATTTCCTTATTAAGTGTTAAATTAATTCAAAAATTATTTTGAATTGCAGTGCATTAGCACTTCAAGAATGTTTTTTTATCCCAATTTTACTGAATATAAATAGAAAAAGATTAAACAATCATTAACTCTAATAAACATCTACGTTTAACCTTTAATTCGATGGTGTCCAGTGTGACGAACAACTAATTTAAAAAAATCTACTGAACTAGATTAGAAAATATTACGTATGACTTTACTAAAAAAAAGGAAACAATTTTTTTGCTACAAAAATTTCGTCGAATTAAGGGTTAAGACAATATTGTTATAAATAATTTGGCGCGCTTTTACCAAGCTAAGTGTCAGTTCGATGTAGTGATGGGACGCTTTGACATTTAAGTAGGCCTAGTGCTGCGCCGATACATCGGCACAGTAGCGGTTTTTGTCTAAACAGTGACTACGCGAAGAAAGTGTACAAGTAATTCTTAGTTACCTTATAAGTTTTATTTTTAATTACAACTAATCATAAAGGAATTATTTATATCAATGCATACAAATCTCAAATACCTTTTAAGCGAAGGCACAACAGTCTATTCCGCGTAGTTACAAAAGTCTATTACAAATGTAATATAATATTTTTATATTAATACAACATAATAGTCGGTTGTTTTGATCTCGCTCCGCCTCTGAATAGATTACTTATTTGGTAGAATTTAATTATGCAAAATTCACTATTGCCCGAACGATTCTAAGAGATACAAATTGTTTGCATAATGTTATTTGAAGGCGATTACGCATACGTTAAATATGGCTGCCCTATCTGTGTGGTCTGTGGCCTCTATTTAATGCAATTAATAAAACACAACCACATATCAGCTTAATCATCAAAAACTGGTTTAATTCACTTTAATATTATCTTAAACGACAGATTTATTTCCACTCTGTTAGTTGTAGTTCCAATGTAAAGTGATCGCAAAGTCATTTATGGTGCATAGGTCATTTTTTATACGAATAAAGGGTACATAGAGTTCATGTTAGTTAAAAAAAGTAAAAAAAACTGTAACAAGTACGTGCCAAGTTTCTTAAAGATTCGATTTTTGAAATGATTACACTAGAAAATAATACTATAAAAAGTTCTATAAATAGGAACTGACAAATAAATTTGACTTTCATCTTGACTCGATTATAGATCACCTAAATATAACATCTGAAGGTTTTCAGTTCTAATAGTTGCAAAAATTATCTTTGCACTAAAGACATACGATACTGCACTATCCTTCCATAGTAGTTAACTGACACACGAAGCTATAATAATAATAAGAGAAAATGTTGGCCATCTTCTTTTTAATACATTCATGGCATATTACTTATGTTTAAATCGTTAACAATCAGAAAAATATCACATTATTATTCCTAACAAATATATATATTTCTATAAGAAAAATATATGTTTTCGATGTAATACTTGTTTTGTACGTTTTCAAACATGTAATAAATTTAAAACTTATCCTCGAACATTAGTATAAGTTAACGAACTTCAACAAATGCATAAAAATTTAGTACATTTAAAATTAATTCTTTTGACCATTATAAAAAATATCGCACACTGCAAAAGATCAAGAGGCATTCGGCGTGGGCACCAATGACCTATGAGTAACCGTGGTTTTTGACAAACAAAAAAAAACGTTCACATGTATTGTGACCATGATTTTAATATAAAATGGTAGAAATAAAAATGTATCTTATATCCTTCAACTTATAATACAAGAATCAATTAAATGTTATGGACCAAATATATTATAGTCTAAGTATTCTGTTTTCTTTTTTTAATTGTAGATCGACTATGGGAATAACAAAAAAAATCACAATTATAACCTATTGAGCTCATTTTCGCTATCTATTTATCATAACTTTTATCCTATATGGTGCTTATGGAATGATTATTTTTATGTAAATAATAGATATTTCGATTTGTCTTAAAAAAACATTCTGAATCGCAGTCTGCAAAATAAATCAGGCTGACAGGAATGGCATATCTTTGCAAATCGTGACAAAACAAACTTTAGTTTTTATCGATTTTTCTATTGTTAAGAATAGCCGATACCAGACGCTGAGGTAATACTATATACTGGGAACTGAGATATTGGCGCTTTAGCAATTAACATCGCTGTCCTTGAATGTCAGACGACCTTAGGGCACAGAGCTTGAGGTATGCATAAAGAATCAAACGCTAAATTGGGGCTCCGGCAAAAACTGGTCGGATCACTTCTGCGTGACGTCACCCGACCACAACGCGCCAGCTTCCGATGATCTCCCTAGGATACACAAAACGACAGTTAAATCCT